CTCACCCATACCATATGTAGGTGTTGAAATGGAAGTATTTGAAAATTGCCATTTTCAAATTTAAGTCATGTTGTTATCAGAAATTCTGCAGAGGTGTTGATAGTTTAGGATAGTGTATATACATAGCACAAATAACATGCAAAATGATTTTAGCAGAAATGAACCAAATTACGGCAATAGTGTGGAATCCGTTATATTGTTAAAAACAACAACACGAAGACCATCATAGAATACCTATTCATCTCACTCACTATTTTCACCCTTATAACTTTTTAAAATCACTTAACAATCACATGATTGTGAAAAGTTAAAGATTTTTAGTTTGTTTGGAAAGTCTTGTTTTTATCATAGACAATAGAGCCAATGATGAATATGTTTATTTAGTTTACAGGGGCGGTGGTGTAGTCTAGTGGGTAAAGCGTTCGCTCGTCACGCCGAAGGCCTGGGTTCGATTCCCCACATGGGTAAAATGTGTGAAGCCCATTTCTGGTGTCCCCCGCCGTGATATTGCTGGAATATTGCTAAAGCAGCATAAAATCAAACTCACACACTATTTAGTTTATGTAATGTAGTAGCAATAATTTCTATTCTAGATAAGTAATGATTGTGCCTGTAAGACACTAGCTATTTAAAGATATATTCATTAGAATATATGGACAAGCATTGTACTGATATATATACAAGCATTGTACTGATATATATATACAAGCATTGTACTGATATTTATACAAGCATTGTACTGATATATATACAAGCCATTGGCATTGCATACTTTAACATATTCATAAAATGAAAACAATCTATGATATAAAAAAATTAAAATGGTTCTAGTAATATGTGGATGATGAAATATTTGAAAAGTGAGTAACAAGAATATATGACATGTTTTTTGGATAACAACTTCTTTTTATTCTTTATCACCACTTTTCAAGCTAATTCTTGCTTCTGGTGAAAAAGGACTTGTTATCCATAAAATGTGTTGTGTATTCATGTTCGTCCAACTTCTAAATGCCTGTAAAGAACTGTGGTCACTAACAAGGTATGGTTAAGACACAAGATACATATGATGTTTTCATGAATTCATTATTCACGTTGATTCCTAACTGTGCCTCTGTACACGCACTCACACAGTTCGTGGATGAAGTCGGCATCACGGTGGTGGAAGGAGACCCTGGTTCTTTTGTTTTGTAATCTGTCATCAAACAATAGCCGGCTCCGACCTTGTGCACCCCAGCCACAGCGGGTCACATTCTTCCTGGATTGACGGCCATGAAATAGTCCATAAACCAACAGAGTGACAGCAGCTAGCACCTTGGTTGTGTGCCATGTTGCAAACAGAAGCCTGTAGACTTTTTGTTGATTTGGTTGGTTTGGTCTGTATAATTATGGTTATGATGAGTTAAAGCCAAAAGTTAAAATAATTCACTGAGTTTTGTATGCCAAAGACGTGTTTTAGTTGTTTTTTGGTGAATTGAAAATAACTAAATCAGAGCCAAACATCCTGACATCCTGGTGGTTGATCTCACTCACTCACTCACTCACTCACTCACTCACTCACTCACTCACTCACTCACTCACTCACTCACTCACTCACTCACTCACTCACTCACTCACTCTCACTCACTCACTCACTCACTCACTCACTCACTCACTCACTTGATGACAAGCTTGGGCACCTCTGGACTGTGAAATCTTAACAAATCAGGGATCCAACATTTAGCATGCATAAGTAAGTTGGTTGTTACAGAAATATATAGCTGAAAAATGTATGATATTTATCAGGATCACGAAATGTCAAAGTGTTATCTTGGTCATGAACTAAGGGAAATCTGTGCTGAAGCAAGTCCACTGAATGATTCTGACTGCATCATAATCATAGATAGGATATTCTGATAGTGATACATATCTCAACCTTGTAACAGGAGCTTAGTTCAACCATTACTGCTTAACACTGTCACATTTTGATCTGGGGCACTGTTCTGATGGTGCTAGTTTCATATCATCAGTGGCGATGGGGTAGCCAAGTGGTTAAAGCATTTGCCTGTCACACCGAAGACCAAGGTTCGATTCCCCATATGGGTGCTATCTGTGAATCCGATTTCTGGTGTCACCCCCCAGTGATATTGATGGAATATTGCTTAAAGTGACGTAAAACTCGCTTACACTTACTTCATATCATCAGAAGTGACATTGCCTTAACAATCAATTTCAGTTTTTCCTGTTTGAATCTCAGGCATGAGTGGTGTCCCTTGGCATTGACAGGATCTGATGGTGGGGTGTGCTTAATAGTTTCAGTAGGTTCAAATCCGGGGCGGTGGGGTAGCCTAGTGGTAAAAGCGTTGGCTCGTCACGCTGAAGACCCGGGTTCGAATTCCCACATGGGTACAATGTGTGAAGCCCATTTCTGGTGTCCCCCGCCGTGATGTTGCTGGAATATTGCTAAAAGCGGCGTAAAACTGAACTCAGTCAGTCAGTCAGTAGTTTCAAATCCTAGTGCCGTATGACATTATTGTGACCCTGAGTGACATGACTGAAATCAGGGATGGGAATGTGGGCCCCAGGGCATGCATGAAGATTTTAAGGTGCAGTTTGGAATTTAATTTTGTCAACATGCAGAAATACTTTTGGTGAATCATAAAATTGATAAATGGCTTTTTGTAGAGGTATGTAATTAGGCAGTCATAATTTATAGAGTTAGCTCCAGTAATGGTAGTCCTCACTGACTCGCTGTAACTGTGAACACGTTCACAAATTTGTTATAAATTTCAACTGAATGGAAGTGACAGAAAATGTACACAAGCTGAACATTGTTGCCTTGTTCAAGTAGAACGAGCTACACACCCAGATAGCCAGTCAATACGATTTACATCAGTCCTATACACATGTATTTAAAAAACATTATTAATAACTCAGTTCTGTATCCCGTGCCCCTCATATTGTCATTTGTCGTGTGTTTGTCAAGTTACGCATACATATCCCAACGCATACATTGTCCCTAGTTTCATAACGTGAACATTACCACGTGGCATTTTGTTGAATAACAGGATCCTTGGCGTGTGTCCTTTATAATGTATTCAGCCATTTAGAACACACTTCAACCATGCTGTTTTGATTTTAATACTTGCATGACAAATGTTAGACTGTGGAAATACTTGCTGAATGTTGTGTTAATCCCACTCGCCTACTGTATTTATCTTCTAACATGTATATTTGACAATCATTGTGGGGCTGCAAACATTAAATGAGAGTGTTTGGTTTTGAGGATCTGCGAAGATCTTGAGATGGTATCTGGTTGACAGAGTGATGCAGTGTTAGGGTTGTGCATTAGCTCCACCTGCCGGACGTTCCTGTTCTGGTTCAGGAATCTTGTGAAAAATTCAAGAGCAGTTCTGTCTGTGTGTATATTAGATGGACATGCTTCATAATTGTGTCATCCTCATGAATGAAATATTTTCACCTCACTTTGTTAAATGGTACAAATGTTTCACATGAACTAAAGTGTGTTGTTTGCTTTGGATAATTTTAGAACAGCCCCTGTTACAGATGATGGCTTTTGGCATGGAGTCAGTGCTAAGTCAATATGTGATGCGACTGTGAAATATGTCGTCAAGCCAGTCACAGATCTGTGATTCTCTCCGTTCCTTTCTGTCTGGTCAGGGACTGGCTGAATACACCACACAATTTGTCCAGACATTAATTTTGAAAACAAATGTTTATCTTTTTAACATATTTTTAGATCTGAGAAACAAATTGGGAAGTTTTCAATAGCATGGCATCCAACTTCTTGATTTCTTAATTTGACAATTCACACCATCAGGTTGGGCAGTGGGGTAGCCTAGTGGTACTGTCTAGTGGTAGCCTAGTGGTACTGTCTAGTGGTAGTGGTACTGTCTAGTGGTAGCCTAGTGGTACTCTCTAGTAGTACTGTCTAGTGGTAGCCTTGTGGTACTGTCTAGTGGTAGACTAGTGGTACTGACTAGTGGTAGCCTGTTGGTACTGTCTAGTGGTAGCCTTGTGGTACTGTCTAATGGTACTGTCTAGTGGTACTGTCTAGTGGTACTGTCTAGTGGTAGCCTTGTGGTACTGTCTAGTGGTAGCCTTGTGGTACTGTCTAGTGGTAGCCTAGTGGTACTGTCTGTCCTAGTGCTACTGTCTAGTGGTACTGTTACTTGTGGTAGGTAGCCTTGTGGTACTGTCTAATGGTACTGTCTAGTTGTAGCCTAGTGGTACTGTCTAGTGGTAGCCTTGTGGTACTGTCTAGTGGTAGCCTAGTGCTACTGTCTAGTGGTACTGTCTAGTGGTAGCCTTGTGGTACTGTCTAATGTTATCCTAGTGGAACTGTCTAGTGGTAGCCTAGTGGTACTGTCTAGTGGTACTGTCTAGTGGTAGCCTTGTGGTACTGTCTAATGTTATCCTAGTGGAACTGTCTAGTGGTAGCCTAGTGGTACTGTCTAGTGGTACTGTCTAGTGGTAGCCTTGTGGTACTGTCTAATGTTATCCTAGTGGAACTGTCTAGTGGTAGCCTAGTGCTACTGTCTAGTGGTACTGTCTAGTGGTAGCCTTGTGGTACTGTCTAATGTTATCCTAGTGGAACTGTCTAGTGGTAGCCTAGTGGTACTGTCTAGTGGTTAAAGCATAATTAGCTTGTCACACTGAAGACCCAGGTTTGATTCCCTACATGGGTACAATATCTAAAGCCCATTTGTGGTGTCCCCTGTTGTGATGTTGTTGGAATATTACTAAAAACAGCATAAAACCATACTCACTCACTCACACATTAGGCTAACATACAGTGACACCGCCACTCACTCACTCACTCAATTGCATTTCTTCATGTTCATATATAACTAAATGCATGAAAGTTTTAGTTGTACAGTTAGAACAAAATTTAATTGCAGTAACCAATGGAGACATCCAGATTTTCCCTCCCCAGTTTGTGTCTTCTACGTGTTTTCTGCCTGTGTCTGAACCTCTAATGACGCTGTTGTTGGCTGTTACAGGGGACGGCGACATCGACAACTGCTGGAATAACCCCTGCCACCAGGGCCGATGTGTAGATGGGTATAAAAACTTCACCTGTGTGTGTCCCCATAACTACAATGGAACGTACTGTGAGAACGATCTATGTAAGTAGTACAACCTTTCAACAGGTGCTTGTCACAACACGGTAAAAAACATCTTCTGTTGCCAGACTGAGAGTGATGGGATGGAGGCAGCTTGTGTTCTCTGACTTCATTTGAGTCAAATATCTTCACTGATTATATATTCTCTTTACATATTTCAATATTCTTTATGATGCAGCATATATTCAGAAATATATCTTGTATTATATCTGTGTGTTGAGTAGAGATGTACATTCCATTGGATCTGAACACAATACTATCCCAAGTGTGGGTGTGATACGAGTCGTATCGCAATGCCGTACTCTCATATGTTGATATTCATTCTTTTTGTCAGTGGAGTATTTCTTAATTTCTGTACAGAAACAGTTGGTGATTGTTAATATATTTGCAAATTTGTAATACAATTCAAACAATATTTCAATTTTATTGAAATGTGAGCAAAGTAGGATGACCCAAGTCAGTGTATGGTAAAAGTCTGGGAATGTGTCTACCAGCATAGTATAAGAGTTTGTGAAAATGTAATTAAACAGCTATGTCTTAAAAAAAGGACCATGCACAATGCAGCTTGTAATCCTCACAGACACCTCCTGCTCAATACAAGTTAAAGGAACACCCTCAGTCGAAAAGGCTGGGGATACAGTTCTCACCAGCCAGGGCAGATTAACTAGGTTATAGCCATATAGATCATTTGTGTGTATATATATATGTATATGTAGATATATATGATGACCACAATAAATCTGTAGAACAATGTTATCTGATATCAGACTCCTGCCAAACTGTGATAGAGTGACACATGTATTGCGATGATATCAACTGTATCACGGACTGTAGATATCATGTGGGTTTACTTTGGCTGCTGACTGGCTGATAAGGACTAGAATGTAAACTAGCTTGGTAAATCAGCTTTTAATTTCTGCTGTTAAAGTTCCCACAATCTGTACATTGAACAAGATGCACAGCTGGCTAATTAAAGAATGTACAATCCGAATTGGATTGAAAGGAGTTGCATCCCTTTGCTGTGACAGGATCCATTGGTCAGGTGCACAGATCATCTTTGCATTTTTTTTGACTCATGATCTTTCAGGGCTATACCGCAGCTAATGTTTTCAATATAGTTTTAGACTTATACTACATCTGTCTCTCTGGGTCTTTCCTCCAACATTAAGCTAACACATGGAATCTATATTTCCTTTAAATTTCAGTGCATTTTTAATCCCAACTCATAAACCTGTATGGTTAGTGTACATTGTCCTCTTTCTCACAGATTAACTTTACTTCATAAGGAACAAAATATTCAATCTTGATTCAGGAAAAGAACAACAACGATCAATATTACCAGTTTGAATTACAAAAACTCCAACCGATGTGAGCCTGCTTCAGTTACCGTGTTCCTCCATTCACTAACACTTCCTTCCACCTGTATTGGTCAAAGCTGTATTCTTCGTGTCGGTTAATGCTAGTGCATTGTGGTGTGATGTTAGTTAAGATCTCAGCCAAGCTAATCAGTATGTAGAATTGTCAATACCGGCTTTGTTCCCATGACAGAGGCCCACTTTCTGTATTTCTGCTTCTTTGTGTGGAGCATGGAGACCTCCACTGGAAGGTTGTACCTGTTCTCAAGGTGTTGGAATCTAGCTAAGGTTTTCTGTGGTATGGAGATATGGGCTTGGGTGAAATACAGGGAGATGAGGGTCGGGTGAAGGACAGGGAGGTGTGGGTTGGGTGAAATACAGAAAAGTATGGGCTTGGGTGAAATACAGGAAGGTGTGGGTTGGTTGAAATACAGGGAGGTGTGGGTTGGTTGAAATACAGGGAGGTGTGGGTTTGGGTGAAATACAGGAAGGTGTGGGCTTGGGTGAAATACAGGGATGTGTGGGTTGGGTGAAATACAGGGAGGTGTGGGTTGGGTGAGGGAATACAGGTGAAATACAGGGGAGGTGTGGGTTTGGGGTGAAATACAGGGGAGGTGTGGGTTGGGTGAAATACAGGGAGGTGTGGGCTTGGGTGAAATACAGGAAGGTGTGGGCTTGGGTGAAATACAGGAAGGTGTGGGCTTGGGTGAAATACAGGGAGGTGTGGGTTGGGTGAAATACAGGAAGGTGTGGGTTGGTTGAAATACAGGGAGGTGTGGGTTGGGTGAAATACAGGAAGGTGTGGGCTTGGGTGAAATACAGGAAGGTGTGGGTTGGTTGAAATACAGGGAGGTGTGGGCTTGGGTGAAATACAGGGAGGTGTGGGTTTGGGTGAAATACAGGGAGGTGTGGGTTTGGGTGAAATACAGGGAGGTGTGGGTTGGTTGAAATACAGGAAGGTGTGGGTTTGGGTGAAATACAGGAAGGTGTGGGTTGGTTGAAATACAGGGAGGTGTGGGTTGGGTGAAATACATGGAGGTGTGGGTTTGGGTGAAATACAGGAAGGTGTGGGTTGGGTGAAATACAGGGAGGTGTGGGTTTGGGTGAAATACAGGAAGGTGTGGGTTGGTTGAAATACAGGGGTGTGGGGTTTGGGTGAAATACAGGAAGGTGTGGGTTGGTTGAAATACAGGGAGGTGTGGGTTGGGTGAAATACATGGAGGTGTGGGTTTGGGTGAAATACAGAAAGGTATGGGCTTGGGTGAAATACAGGAAGGTGTGGGTTGGTTGAAATACAGGGAGATGTGGGTCTGGTGAAATACAGGGAGTGTGGGCTTGGGTGAAATACAGGGGAGGTGTGGAGTGAGATTGAAATACAGGGAGGTGTGGGTTTGGGTGAAATACAGGGGAGGGTGTGGGTTTGGGTGAAATACAGGGAGGTGTGGGTTGGTTGAAATACAGAAAGGTGTGGGTTTGGGTGAAATACAGGGAGGTGTGGGTTGGGTGAAATACAGGGAGGTGTGGGTTGGGTGAAATACAGGGAGGTGTGGGTTTGGGTGAAATACAGGAAGGTGTGGGTTGGGTGAAATACAGGGAGGTGTGGGTTTGGGTGAAATACAGAAAGGTGTGGGTTTGGGTGATATACAGGAAGGTGTGGGTTGGTTGAAATACAGGGAGGTGTGGGTTGGGTGAAATACATGGAGGTGTGGGTTTGGGTGAAATACAGGAAAGGTGTGGGTTGGGTGAAATACAGGGAGGTGTGGGTTTGGGTGAAATACAGAAAGGTGTGGGTTTGGGTGAAATACAGGAAGGTGTGGGTTGGTTGAAATACAGGGGGAGGTGTGGGTTGGGTGAAATACATGGAGGTGTGGGTTTGGGTGAAATACAGAAAGGTATGGGCTTGGGTGAAATACAGGAAGGTGTGGGTTGGTTGAAATACAGGGAGATGTGGGTCTGGTGAAATAGAGGGAGTGTGGGCTTGGGTGAAATACAGGGAGGTGTGGGTCGGGTGAAATACAGGGAGGTGTGGGTTTGGGTGAAATACAGGGAGGTGTGGGTTTGGGTGAAATACAGAAAGGTATGGGCTTGGTTGAAATACAGGAAGGTGTGGGTTTGGGTGAAATACAGGGAGGTGTGGGTTTGGGTGAAATACAGAAAGGTATGGGCTTGGGTGAAATACAGGAAGGTGTGGGTTGGTTGAAATACAGGGAGATGTGGGTCTGGTGAAATAGAGGGAGTGTGGGCTTGGGTGAAATACAGGGAGGTGTGGGTCGGGTGAAATACAGGGAGGTGTGGGTTTGGGTGAAATACAGGGAGATATGGGCTTGGGTGAAATACAGGGAGATGAGGGTCGGGTGAAGGACAGGAAGGTGTGGGTTTGGGTGAAATACAGAAAGGTGTGGGTTTGGGTGAAATACAGGGATGTGTGGGTTGGGTGAAATACATGGAGGTGTGGGTTTGGGTGAAATACAGAAAGGTATGGGCTTGGTTGAAATACAGGAAGGTGTGGGTTGGTTGAAATACAGGGAGGTGTGGGTTTGGGTGAAATACAGGAAGGTGTGGGTTTGGGTGAAATACAGGGATGTGTGGGTTGGGTGAAATACAGGGAGGTGTGGGTTGGGTGAAATACAGGGAGGTGTGGGTTGGTTGAAATACAGGGAGGTGTGGGCTTGGGTGAAATACAGGGAGATGAGGGTCGGGTGAAGGACAGGGAGGTGTGGGTTGGGTGAAATACAGGGAGATGAGGGTCGGGTGAAATACAAGAAGGTGTGGGTTGGGTGAAATACATGGAGGTGTGGGTTTGGGTGAAATACAGGGAGGTGTGGGCTTGGGTGAAATACAGGGGAGATGAGGGTCCGGGTGAAGGACAGGGAGGTGTGGGTTGGGTGAAATACAGGAGATGAGGGTCGAGGTGAAATACAGGGAAGGTGTGGGCTTGGGTGAAATACAAGAAGGTGTGGGCTTGGGTGAAATACAGGGAGGTGTGGGCTTGGGTGAAATACAGGGAGGTGTGGGTTGGGTGAAATACAGGAAGGTGTGGGCTTGGGTGAAATACAGGGAGGTGTGGGTCGGGTGAAATACAGGGAGGTGTGGGTTTGGGTGAAATACAGGGAGGTGTGGGTCGGGTGAAATACAGGGAGGTGTGGGCTTGGGTGAAATACAGGGAGGTGTGGGCTTGGGTGAAATACAGGAAGGTGTGGGTTGGGTGAAATACAGGGAGGTGTGGGTTTGGGTGAAATACAGGGAGGTGTGGGTTGGGTGAAATACAAGAAGGTGTGGGCATGAAGGTGAAATACTAGAAGGTGTGGGCTTGGGTGAAATACATGAAGGTGTGGGCTTAGGTGAAATAAAGGGAGGTGTGGGCTTGGGTGAAATATGAGAAGGTGTGGGCTTTTGTGAAATGTGTTAAGGTGTGGGCTCAGGGGAAATGCGTTAAGGTGTGGGCTCAGGTAAAATGCATTAGGGTATGGGCTCAGGTGAAATGCATTAAGGTGTGGGCTTTGGTGAAATATTGGGAGGTGCCAAAACATATCCAGCTTCAGTAAATGTACATCTGCCACTATTCTCAAAACTTCAAATCATTCCCCTGAATACTGTCATTTGATTGGCTGGTCCCATATCTCCAGGACAGTGACTAATTGGTTGATT